GCAATGCCGCTGACAGTGGCGTAGCCCCAACTCAAGAAAAGCCAAATTCCAGGAATACATCAGACAAGGCGAAAGAAAGAAAAACTTTCTTCGAAGATAAAACCACAGCTAAAAGGGGAAGTTGTATATACATATATATACATATATAATATATATATATATAAATATATGTACATATTAAATTATAGCATCGGTATTGAATGCAATTTAATATGAAAAGTATTTACTTTTTCATGCCAAGAGTCCTGAAGATTATTAAATTGATTTTTTAGCTTGGCTTTTATTTTTAATCGGTTATTCTCCGGCGGGAATATAACATATAATATAATATATGTATAATATATATAAATATAATTCACGATAGGTTATTCGGTATGTTATTCGGTATGTTATTCGGTATCCCCATGTATGCCCCTCCTGGCTACGCTACTGCTCCGATTATGCCCCGTCCTCACTGTCTTTACTTTTGGCAGTTTAAAGCGAAAGAGAAACCCATTGATTGTCCCAAGCAGACGCAGACGTGGAACTAATGGAACAGTCAGAAACATTTGCCAGATTACGGACTGATGCCCCTGGCTTGGGGCCGAGGCAATGCAACTATTTATTTAGCCTGCAGCTAAGATTTTCCACGACTAAACTGGTGGCCTCCACCTCCAGCTGGGAGCTCGCAGCTCGCAGCTATGCCCCGCAGCTGTCACAGTCAGCGGACCTTGGCTTGCAGTTGATTGAGTTCGTGTTCATGTTATTATTGATTTGATTTCGCTATCGTCGAATTTGCAGTTCCGCTGGCAGTGAATACATCATCGGGCGGGCTGGGCTGGGCTGCTCTGGGCTGTCGGTCCGCTGCACACTCTTTACGGCTCGCTTGGAGTCTAATAAACTTCGAACAGGTGTTTGAATATATCTCAACCTTCGCCAACTTGTGCACATAAATCAAAATGGGTTTTTAAACTACGCCACTGGTCGGGGACTAAGCTCTCTCGGCTTCATTTGCATCTCCACCTCTCCCACTTCTCTCTTCCGAGCCTGTCGTCTGTTCCTGTCTCATGTGTGTGTGTGTGAGAGCTGCCATAAAACAGCAACAGCAACCACAAATATTTTGAAGCGATGGGGATATGGCTGTGAATGGGGAATAGAACGACGACAGCGACGACAGCGACGATGATGATGATGATGGAGGCGCATAAAACTTGTTGAATTATTCGGTTCTGGGACATGGACGTGGCTTGGAAATTCTTTGGCTGCTTTCGCCAGCCCTCTGCCCCCCGCTCAGCCGAAAACGGAATTTTTTATTATTATTGCAAATTAAAAAAGTTTACATTGGCTTAACTATGTGAACGCCACGCCACGGCAAGACAAGGCAAGGACCAGCACCAGGACCAAGACCAAGACCAAACCAGATCTGCCAGCACAACTATGTAAAAGCCAAGTTTTAGCTGAGAATGAATGAAGCTCGGCCAGGAGGCTGGATGGGCGGGAATGGGTGGGAATGGAGCAACCGATTTGCAAAGTATTTTCAACATTTCTGCCGCAAGCGCAACACAAAAAGTGTGAGTCCCAAAAAAACCCATCATAGGCAGCCTGACACACCTGACTGTCCCTGCCGCACCCCAGCCCACAGATCTACTGCCCCCACCCCCCATCCCGTTGCCAGTCAACGAGGCGTATTAGCAAATTAAATTCCATTTTCACAGGTGGGGCGTCTGCTTGTGATTATGAGCTGAGGACTTGCAGCCATCAAATTTAATGCACAACAGCCATCCAAACTGCTCCTTCCTGAAGTTGAGTTTGCTATTGTGGTTTGTGGGTGGGGGGACGCTCTGAGGGTGGTGCGAGTATGTGTGGTCTGTGGTCAGCCAGGCGCACTGTTTGCTCCATAAGTGATGTGTTCGTCCCCCCGTGGTGTGCTTTAAAATTAAATGCAGGGGAAAGGAGAAAGGGAAAGTGAAAGCTTCTCGAGTTCTATTCATTTATTTATTTTTGCCAACTCATTAGAAAAATTGAAATGTCCCCCTAGCTTAAAGGAAAACCATCTGGCAAAGTCAGAGCAAAAAAAAAAAAAAACGACAGGCCAGGCCAGAATGGCAAAGGGGGGAAGAAACATAAAAATGCCAAATGGCAGAAATAAAAGGAAAAGCACGCGCCCCGAAAAGAGAAACCCAAACAGGGGAAAGGGAAACTCACATTTTCCGCACAGTCCTCGCACGGCCTGCCTCCACTCTCCACTCTGCACAGCCTTTCGTTTATTGATAGAGTGACTCGGGGAATTGATTAAAAGGCATTGTCAAGGCTTGCCTTGCTCTGGGCTTAAGCCACGTCGGTGCACAATACTCTCCCTCGTACGCGTATACACGCACAGATCTGTAGATGTTCGATGTGTGCATATGCACGGAGGCTTTGATCTATCTCTGCCACTGCCTCAACATGAATGGGCCCGACAAAATGGCGGGGCCAGGAACTTGTCTAACAATTTGACGCTTTAATCCGTCCCTCAATGCCGACAGACAGACAGTCAGACGAACGGACAGACGGACGAAAGGAAGGCAGGCAGTCAGGGCGAGCGAGTGATAGAAAAGAAAAACTCAAACAGCTCACTGTCTTCGCTTCAGTTGGCCAAAAGCAAGCTGAGATTCATTCAAACTGGCATGGCTATCCACGTCTCTCTCTCTCTGTTTCTGTGTGTGTGTGTATGTGTATGTGTACGGATGTATCTGTGTGCTGGCTTTCTTTTATGCGTTTCATTTCTATCTGGTGTCGTATTATGGTAATTCGCATCGAGTCCGATTAGGGGCAACATGTGGAAGAACGAGTTTCTCTGCAACAGCAGAGCCTTTTCCAGTATCCTGTCTCAGGCTCTCTGCATGGCATTCTGTTTGTAACTGAATATAAAATATTTAATACTCGCTCAAGTAATATATATTATTAAACTAATCAGAAAGGAAAGACAGCATAAAAATTGCTCATTAAATTTAAATTTAAATTACAAATTGATTTGTGGTTTAATCAGGGAAAAATGTGGAGTACATTCCCCTAAAAATAAGCCTGAAAAGGGTTCATATTCGGGATTGTTTAAGGCTCCTCTTTTAGCCACGAAACGAAAGACAAATGAAAAGACAATGAAAATGATTTTCGCTGTGGGTCCTGGCAAATGAGCTGGCGAATGATTGCTAGTGGGACCGACCGGGAGTTGGGCTTTGTGTCGCGCCGCGACACATCTGGCACAAGCTGACACTGAACTGGCAGCTGGTCTTGACCAGAGCTAGCCAGATGGGGTGGAAGAAGTGCCTTCAGATTGCTTGCACTTTTCCCCACTTCAATCCACACCACTCCAAACCAGAGTCGCTTTCCCTTTATTTTCTCTGTGCTGATTTGCCACTTGAGAATTGTATGCTGGCCATAATTTAATATCATGCGAAACGAGTTTATGGCAATTGCAATTTTATTTGCCTGGCCAGCGCACTCAAGCCTCACAGAACACAGACTTACATATAGACAGATGTATGGTATGCCTGGCCAGAGAGTTGTCGTTGATTCGATTTCAGTTTCTCAGTTAATCAATTGATTTTTCCTGCAACAGCTCCGACAACAGCATTTGCATCTGTATTTATGTGTGCTATTTGTGGAGCTGTGACCAAGCAAAAGCTAGCAGCTTCCACTTGCATATCTTTCTATATAAAAGGTAATACACATGGATTTCTATTGCTATTTGCTTGACTTTTATTGCATTGAATGCTCTTTGAATTCTTCTTAAAAGGGATGGATTTAAGAAATGTCGCAGTGGAAACGGAATTTATATTTCCCCACTGGTCGCAGGGTAATTCCCATTGTCTCGCTTTGAGCGTTACTTTTATGTGAACGCTTCATTAAATTTTCAATTGTGGCGGCGACTTAATCAATTTTTGATTGCCCAACATTCAGTAATCCCAAACGCCAACGAAATTCATAGATACTCGTATTAATGGTATTTCTCTGTAAATCTTAATGCTATAGCCATAAAAAGCAATTACTATGCGGTCCAGGGGTTGGGTGGATACGAGTGTGTCGCATTTTGTGGTTTTGGCATTTTAGAGGAAATCAATGAACCGCTGCCCCCGCCCGACGCCCACTGGGCGTTACATTTTATTAGCGCAAAATGATTTCGTGTGCCAAATATTTGCCAAAATTGACGACGACGACCGCCCATGGCTGTCCTAAATGGCATTGCTAATGGCCGACATTAACGGGGCGTATACGCAATCTGCGTTGTCATGCCGGACACGCGTCGATATTGGGAGTTGGCTTTAAGTGCACTTTGGACCATCCCCGCTACCCGCTCCCCACTCCCAGCTCACCACCCTAATCCGGTCAGTGTGTGCGTGTGCATGCAGTTAATGTCCGCTCATCGATGGGGCTACAAATGCGATTATCGAGCAAAGTTATCCGCAACTTTTGTGTGTGTGTGCTTGTCTCTCTTCTTTACAGGCATCTGGTACAACAGTGACCGTCGCGATTGGGTACGCGTTGCCGGACGATAGTACCCATTATACCCTGTCAAAGGGTTGAGACCATCGTCACTGCGCAAATCATCCTCCGCCAGCAGCAGCAGCATCAACAACGCCTGCCCCCCGCCACCGCCCACACCGCACCAAGTGAACACCAGCAGCAGCAGCAGCAGCACTCCGCACCACCAGGCACAGACATCACCTCATTCCCAGCAACAGCATCCGCACCATCATCCGCACCAGCACAGACGCAGTAGCAGCTCCAGTCACACCAGCCACGCGGAAAACACGAGTAGCTTGGCCACGAAACCGGCCATCAATTTGCTTGGCAATCAACAGCAGGTCAACTACTTCGAATTCCCGCCCACCACTCGTCCACCACTCACTGCTGACCAGCCACTGTGGGTCAGTCGCGGTCGCAACACAGCCTCTACCCCAGCACTAAACATAAACTGCAACTCCAACTCCAGCAACAGCAACAGCCACAGCAATATCAACTACAGCTCGGCCGTTGCTAAAGCGGCAGCATCAACAGCTTGTGCACTTCTTGCCACGTGCCACGTGTCCCCCCAACACCAGGAAGAACCACAAACACCAAGCAGCATGGGTCGCCGTGAGATAAAGCGCTCCAACACCAGTGGCTCCACCACCAGATCCTACGACAGCGGCAGCGGTGAGTAGAAAATACTTTAAGAATATGTAGCCCCCCTAACCCAGATCAGATCTATCTATTCACTGGAATAGAATTCAAAAGAGGCCCGTGGTGGCTGAGGTAGAGGCAAAAGCGAAGGCGATGGCGGAGCCAGAGCCCTGCCTAATCGCCTTACGTTCAGTGATTGGGGCCTCTGGATGCCACGGGAAATGGAATTAGGCTGGCAAATTAACTCAACGGAGATTTGTTGTCAAGCTGTCGTTGTCCCGCCCAATGCTATTTGCTTTCAAGCTCAAGAGGTGTTGAATGGGGGTGAAGGGCGCAGAGAAATAATGAAAGAGAATATTGAAAGAGCTTCAAATGGGAATCCAAATGGTTCGGAAATTAGTGCCAACTTCAATACAGAAAAGAAATTGCCTTAAACCATTACGGGACTGTTCATTACTGATAATTAAATTGTTATGTGGGTTCTGTTTGCAAGTACATCAACTTTTCATAGCCACAGACAAGCCAAACTGATTTGTTACTTCTATTAAAGAGTTATATATAGGTTATAGGTTCAATCATCTACATATTGGGTTAGTCTTTTGGAACATTTATTACTCAATATTTTTAATGTAAATAAGAAGTATACAAAGACACAGCCCCGTTTGCACCAGCCTTTGATGCAGTACGCGCACAAGTAGGGAACATAAACCGACTAGAATTTCTGTTGCTTCCTACAACTAATTAGGAAACTTTGACTGCAGCTCTCAGTATGTGCGAAACGAGGCTGCTCTTACAGACAAAACTCATTAGATTTTAATTGTAAATGCATATGCATATGCAGTGGCAGTAGCAGTCGCTGACGCAGCTGGCAGACACGAGGCACGCTAAAAGCTTTGCTGACCGCATCCCAGGCCAGTGGGGGGGTGGAGACTAGGAGCATCGGGAGATTATATTGGAGAGGCTCTGATCGCAGCCGTGATGCTGGAAGCAGTCGTATAGCGAGCCTATGTTCCGGCTGTACAGACTGCAGCAGAGCTTCGAGGCGCGATGGCAGCTGCTGCCCGGCTCATAGTCAAGCTCCTCGGGATATTGCACGGCCTCTGAAAAAGGGGAATAGCTGCAGGTTATCGAAATCGCGAATTTGCGTCGACACTTACCTTGCCGGTAGGAAGGTTGTGGCGCCAGGGGCGCTGATGCTGCCACAGGCACGGGCGAGTCAAGGGGATAGGTTTCTTGGAGGCGTTCGTCGGCTGCAATTAAGAAGCGTTGGCATGTAAACCATCGTGTTAAAGTGCAAGTGTGTGGGTGAGTGAGTGTCTTAGGTGACTGAATGACGGAGTGACTGGGTGACTGACTGGTTAAATATGGTGTTGTGGTTTTGGGGTTGGGTTTGGGTTTGATGCCGCCCTTGTGTGTGTTTCGGCTGTGTACTTTGATGGCTCTGAGTTGAACTGTTTATGCATTCAATTAATTAACAACTGGCTGTAATTTATGCCACAATGAACAGTGGCATCAGCTGATTGCATCAATTATGAAGGTGCAACATACGTAATTATATCCCTCCCGGCCGGATGTCCACAGCTTAGGGCCAAGAACAGTTCATTCAATTCCCAGCCAGAGGCCAGAGGCCAGAGGCAGAGAAGTGCTATTCCTCTCACTCGCTCTCTCTCTCTTTTGTATCGTATGTCTGTGGCAAACTGCAATTGGATTTGCAGGTGTAAATTGTATTTTGCGGTACGTAATAGATGGGTAATTAAAAGATAAGCTATCAATGGTCAGTGTCAGCTGACAGCTGCCAGTTGCATGTTGCACGTCGCCAGTTGCCAGTTGCTATCCAGCAGTTCCACGATCTGGCGGCTAATTGTAATGGCTGCTGGGATTGGGTAATTGCGATTGAATGGAGTCGAATGGGAGGAGGATGCTGCATTACATGACCAGCCAACCACTCAATTGATATCCAATTAAGCCAGCATCCATCGTACATAAGTTGTAAGGACAAATTGTATCGGGCAATTACGAAACTTTAATTCGATTGTTGAGTGGATGGCACTGAAGTGAGGCGGTGATGGGATAAGCAAATAATATCTGTATATGCCAGACCATAAGGACTGTAATTGTGGTTGCTTATTTAATAGATGCCAGACCAGACAATGACCATAAGTTAGTTTAAGTTTTCAATGGGATGGGATGGGATGGGATGGGATGTGGGATGTTCGTATCAGTGTCAGTGCCAGAAATTGTGGTTGAATGTTTCGAGTTTTGTGTAGCCATCACCAGGTTATGCCTATGGGTATTCTTCTTATTGTATACCCTGGAACTTCGCTAAGCGGGCAACAGAAACGTAGACAGACATAATATTGACGTAAAGCGAACGGTTTATTAACCAAGTTAAGACTTATGCGCGTAAATAAATTAAGTTTTGTTTATTTGAGATTTTGGGTAATACTTTGCAAGTAGCACCATTAAGCGACGCGACGCGAGGCGACGCCACGCTACGCCTACTGAAAATTGTTGTTCAACACTCTGGATAACGAACCATCGAGCACGGTCTCTTCGGCACACGGATTTATGCCCCAGAAGGCGCCGCTGCAGCCAAACTCCTCGAAGCAGTTGTAACGGATCTTCTTGCTGCCCTTCGAGCAGCAGTTGACGATCGCCCACACGCAGTTGGTAACCTTGGGCGCGGATGTCGCCCGGGGCGTGAGTGGAGGCCTGGTGGGCGCGGCAGTCACTGGCCGGGAGTTCCACGGCCGACTTGTCGTCGGCGTCGATGACCAGCTGGGTCGGCTCGCTATTAAGTAATTCATAAAGAGGGCAATAGGTCAAGACGAGTAGAAGAACAAGCGACAGCTAGCGGATAGGATAGCGGAGGCAGGTTAGCAGCAAAGCCTTTCATTAATCACACAAACACAATTTCTTAGGGAATGGTATCTGAGTTCGGGTAGCGCTGTGGCATGACGGGACGAGACCTACCTGGACGGGTATTGCTGCTGGGACCCCACACTTGATTGTTCTTTGGCGGCCGACTATTGCTGATGGTATTGTCCCGTCCTATGTCAGAGCCAGAGCTGGATGCAGAGCCGCCGCCACCGCTGCCGCCGCCGATCAGATTGGGATTGGGCCTGGGCTGATCGAATATCGAGAAATCGGCCTCCTGTGGATCAGAGTTGTGCAGCAGAAAGTCGTCCCTGCTGTCAATGCTCGTTGGGGTGGCGGGATTCTCGTTGGTTTTGTCCTGCCAAATGGGCAGCTTGCCGGGCAGGATAGGCTTCTTACCGGACACTGGCAATCTGCAATGGGACAGAGTATTTGGTAGAGGATTTCTACGGGTGACAGGCCATGATCTTGCTCACCTTTGTGATGGCTGCGGTGGCAGATAGTAATAGGCAGAGGGCGGTGCTGGGTGCCGGAAGTAGACCGCATGGGACGGGGTCTGGTAGTAGTTGGAGTGGTCGCACGGAGTGTAGGCCTGACGACGCTGGCGACTGTGGTACTTCTTGTGGCTCTTCCTCAGCCACTCCTCCTTCGTGGGCTTCACCAGCTCCGAGGCCTCGTCCATGTTCTTGACCGGCGCCGCTTCCAGGTCATCGTTCAGCACAATGGGCTTGTCGGGCAGGACATCAAAGTAGATCTTCTCCTCCTCCTTCTCCAGCTGGGGCTGCCGGCGATGGTGATGCGTGCGGGAGTGCTTGCGCTTCTTGTGGTGCACCGCGGTGGTCTTGTTTTTGCTGGGGTCTGTGTAAATGCCATGACATCAGTGCAACTTCAGTGTGAGGCTTGGTCGGTGACTCACCATAATCCTCGCTGACGAAATCCTCCTTGTACATGATCACCGGATGGTCCGCCTGCATGACGCCGTCCACCATTCTCACTTCATGGATCTGAAGTGAGAGAATTTCAGGGGTCAGCAAAAATATTGCACTGGAAACTATTTGTTTTCTTTTTTTTGCCTTACCTCCACATTGTCCGTATCCGGGGGCAGGACTGCAATGTCAGTGTCATCCTCCGTCGAGGGTCGACTGGCGGCCTGGGCGACTAGACACAGCAGGAGGGTAAACAGCAGAGCCGGAAGTCCGAGGCTGTGGCTGTGGCTGCCATTCGACGGCAAACTTCGATTCATCTCCTTCAGTTTGTTGTGGCGTCTGCAATTGGCACCGGGCAAAGATTGTGCATTAGTTTCCGTTACCCCGAGTCAACTTTTATTCTGCAGTTCAATCTCAATTACTTGACCCGGCAACCCCCCTACACACAACACCACTCAAACATGCATATACACACACATACACATAACGATAAGGAGGAGGGGAACACGACAGCCTCTTCTCTCTGGTGGTGCGAAAGTTTTGAAGTTGTAAATTTTGTTGCGGCTTTGTTTTGGCTTTCGGCCTGACTCATAGGATCGGGATCAGGATCTGGCTTAGTTTTTGTTTGGTTTGGTTGAGTTTGGTTTGGGCTTTGAGGTTTGTTTTAAATTAGACATCAAGTTGAGTTCAATTTTTCTTGGCTTTTGTTGCCTGTTTCGCTCTGCGGTGAACTTTTGAATTACTTTTCTGTTTCTGTTTCTGTTTCGCTTTCGATTCTTTATGTATATTTTTATTTAGTTTTTGCCAGAGTTATTGCAGCACGTCGAAAGTTCGTCGGCCATAAACCGATGTGGCAAGCCTTGTTGAGCGCTGACAAGCGGAAAAGCAGAAACTTTGCCAGCACCTACACCACGAGACAATCACCAATTGTTTCAAGTATTTTAATATTCTAATGCACGGAGTACTGTGCCCCGACCCACCCCAACACCACTAACCGATTGTTAAGTTTGAGTAAATTCTATTTTCTACTTCGATGTTCCACTTTTGCCTGTTCGATTCTGACTGAGGCGAGCACAAACGCTTCTGCTCAATATAAAGGAGAAACCAAAAGTTTGAACAGCTGCCAAATACATGCTCCCATTTCTCTCTCTCTCTCCCAATATCTATGCCTCACGGTTTTCCCCGATTCGCTATCTCTACAGAAGATAGCTGATATCAGCAAAGCAACAGAGATGATAAAATATCAACAATTAGTCACAAGAGTTGGCAGCTCTTAAGGAAAAACATGAAAACAAGTACGTAAGATCTGCGTCAATGGACAAATTCGCAGAATTATTGACGGCTGTATTCCTTCTAGAATCTCCCTTGTTCGACCCTCCCCCCAAAATAATATCTGAATCATTAATTGTTGTGTCTTAAACCAATGTGGATTCGACGTTGCATTTGTATTCGAAAAGAAATTGTTTCGCCTTTGGAGAATGAAATGCTTTGTGCTTAATGGAAATTTCCAGAAATAAATCATCAGTAAAAATGGTCCCGACTTTTATATTGGAATATTTTTTGCCAACCCGATGCCAGAAATAACATTTTAATTTCAAGAAATGGCATGGGCATAGCAGATGTCGAACTCTCTTGTCCTCAATTGATGAGTAGAAAACACCAGAACAAACGCACAAAACAAAGCTTATTTGTCTCTATTCTTCTTAGAGTCATAGTCCAATTAGCGATACAAAAAATATTATATTACAGAGCAAAGAAAAGTAATTCATGATGGAATGGGATAAGCGCGAAAACATACGAAAATTAAATGGAAAAAATAGAGAAAGGGAAGTACGACAAGTGCAGAGGGGATTTTGTTAAACCGTAAATCAGCTCAGAGATGGAAATCTGTGCGTAAATTGGTTTTAAATTCCACGGATTCGATGGCCAATGGCTAATTAAAAATTGCTGAATTGTTTAATTTCCCTAATTGATTTTGCACGTAATAATTACCGAAATATTTGAATCTTTTGCGCCAAATGTTTTTTTGCGGTGACTGTAAAATTCTCATTTGGCCAACATATCCTGTGGGAATCAAATAAAATAAATTGCCAAAATACATTTCCCGTTTCCGGCTGCAGTCGATGCCCATAAAAGTATGCTAAATGTTGTGTGGATGCAGCCCGACAGTATGGCGGCCATCATCCTATTTATAGACTCTGATACACACACACACACACACACACTTGCAGAGCAGAGCAATCAGCCTGCTGAACCACACACAAGTAACACTGTTCATTGGAGCTGAAAATATATGGGGGGCAGTCGAGCCGGGCAAAAACTCAATTCCAAAAATTTGTGTGAATAGCCAACGGAAATTGTAAGTTTGTTGGGGGAATAACCCCCAATTTGTTGCAGACAACAACAACAACAACAACTGGAGAGTGAGCCACAAGTGGCAACTGTAGCAATGAGCTCGAAAAAAAGCTGGCATAAAAAAAAGGAACATAAAAATACGGTCCTCCCTGCCATCATACATAAATACATATGTATGTACATTCGAGTATGAAACGGCTTGAAGAGGAATAAAAACCTCATTGTTTGTATCTGGTCTGGATACCGTGCTCTGGCGCCTCCCACACTTTTTTTGTGCGTTGCCCAACGGCTGATCGAATCGCCATTAAATATTCAATATTAATATTTCTCGTACACAGCGAGAAATGTCTGGCTGCCTAGAAATGGTTCGCGATTTTAATTGAATTTCAAGTGGTTTTTATTTCTAGAATTTCTCTTAAAGCGTGAATTGCATCTGACAATAACTGAATTTTTCGCCTTTTCGCATTTTGTGACCCTCGGCTGTCGGCTGTCGGCTGTCGACTGCATTTTGTGTTTTTTATAAACGTTTTGGCCATAAATAATTCAATTTTCTTCAGGTGAATTGTTGGCCTGCAACGGAAAGTAATTGTAATCAATTTTGCAGCTATATTTTTGGCATAATAAAATGAGTTTTTGGCTAGCTGCTTCAGCAGTTCCATTTAATTGGATTCCGAAGATGTAATAAAAAGTTGAGCGAGGACCCTGGATAAATGCCAGAAAAGTCCAGCTGAAGTGAATCCAGTTAAAAGGTCTCACAGCGATGCCGGGAAAGAGGTGACACCAAAGCCATTAGCCATATTAAATGCGGCATTTTTCATTAAGCCAAATGTGTCTGTGCATTATTCATGACACAAATGCAGCCCAGTCCAGTCCCGTCCAGTCCAGTCCATTCACAATTTTAATAATTATATGCAGGGTCCGTGCACTTCTCACCTCAGCGGACAGGCGGGCGCCTGTGATGTGGCAGCCTGTGCGGGCCTCTCCACGGCACCATCTGTGGCAATGCACAAAGGCAAATTGAGTTTTGCGAGCGAAAAAGTTGCCACAAAACTGCCTGGCAACAGGCAGGCATACACATACACAGCGGGTCCTGTCACACATGCAACTGAACGTCGATTACAACTTATTAGAAAGTTATCGGTGGCGGGGAGATTGCAATTTCGCCAACAGCCAGATTCACCCCCAACTCAAACTCAAACGGCAACCGAGCCCAACGGCAGGCATCGAGTTCTGGGCTGTTTGGGACGGGACCCACTTTAACGTGGCCATTTGGCTGGCAAACTGTGTGGCCCCAAAAAGATGATGTGGCCAGCCAAGTGTGGCACCATCATGCCATCATAAAAGTTGTCTCCCACCTCTCCATGCTCACCCTCACACCTGAACGAGGACAACAACGAACGATTATCGAAGCTACATTTCCTTTGGACTCCTCCGACCCTGTGCTGGCGCTGGCGCTGGCACTGTCACTGGCCCTGTCCCTTCTCAGTCATTGTTGCTTTCGTCGGTTTCGGGCCAGTAACTGTACGGCGGGCAAAGCCATAAAGTGACACGGAAAATCGGATTTCATTATACTCGTACTTTTATTTATACAGATATATAGCTGTATAGCTACACACTGTATGGGTAGACTTTTATGTCCGAGGGGGCGCTGCGCAAACAGCCGGAAAGGTTTGATCGGAGCAAAGTCTGCTAATTGATATGGAAATTTGGTAGTCGCAAGGCCCAAGGCTACTGCGAGCAAACTCATCAAAGTCGGAAAACTCATTGCAGATGCGATTAAAAGCAAACACTGTGGCGTAAACATGCAGCGAGGTAAGAAGATGTTGCCACGGTCGAGACTCAGGGGGCTCTGCCCCGACCCGACCCATATTGAAACGACTGTTTGCTCTGACCTCAAAATACGCAATAAACAGCCGTGCCGTGCCGTGCCCTCTTCTGCTCGACTTTACTCATCATTTCGCACGCTGATGATGATGTCGATGATGATGATCGGTGGAAAATCGAAAGTGAATTCCCAAAAATGTAATTTCAAAGTTTATTATTTCTTCTTTGTGCTCGCTGTGTTTACGTTGGATTTTATGCAATTTTTGTGGAAATTTTGAGCGTAAATTGATGATGCCAAAAAGAACGGAACACGTGCGGGGCGTGCAATATGACAGACATTGTTGCTTCTAATTGGCTTACACTGTCCGTACGAGTGTGCCCACAAAGAAGCCGACACAGTTATTTCCCCTATGTGTGTGTGTCTGCCGGCTTGGCTCTATTCATATGTCAAAGTGTCGCACGTCAACTCTTGTGACGTATTTTCAACGGACACGACCACGGACATGAGCAACAGCAGCAGCAATAGCAACGGCAACAGAATGCAAATAGCCATTAGGGGAGGCCTGGACAGGGCAGATCGAAGCCTGGGCATATTGCATCCCTGCATAATTGAGATGTTCCTGTCGACGCCAAATCAATGGGTCCTGGCCTGTAATTAAGCTGTTGGAGATCTTTTTGCAACCATATTGCATTGGCCCACCACGCTGTGCGTAATGCGTTTTGGCCGCTCAATGGTGCGTATGCGTAACGTGGGATATTCGGTTGGCCCTCGGTGTTGACCATGGGAAACCGTCAGCTGCCAGCTGCCACAGTTTTTTCTTTCCTATCTTTGTTTTTCTGTGTGTTATTTAAAGCGAACGCATTGCAACATTCGCCATTGTTGCTCCTTTTGCCAGTACTCGTGCCAGAATGATTCTGATCTGACTGGAAGCCCGGGCTTCAGGCCAAATGCTGCCAACTTTTCTTCTTATTATTGTTCAAAATGAAATTTATTCGGCACGCACACACACACACACACACACACACATCCATGCTGATGGCAAAGCAAAGTGGGGCATCAACACGAGAGAAACAATGCATGTGGAAAATGGGTTTTCTTTTTTTTTTTGTGCAGTTATGGTTTGCTTATTTGTGAGAGCTTCAGGAAACAATGCAATGTG